AGAGATCGAGCCAGCCCACGGGTCCTGTTTACTGTAAAGCACGATATCCGGTCGAAGTTTTCCGATTGCGGTTGCGCGTTTCCCGGCTGCCGTTCTGGCTTCGGATATCTCGGCACAGCCGGGGCACGGAAGTTCCTGTCCTGCCAGGGTTTTGGCTTCTCGGCCACACTCGTCCCAGCAACATGTGATAAAACAGTTGGAGCATCGCAAACGGCGGAGAGATCCATGGAGGAGAACACATTCGATGCCTCTGTTAGTCTCTTGGAGTCGTGGCTCGTAGTCGACTCGGTGGTGGCCTCGGACATCTCTTGACTGGTATTTCCTGCAGAACCGAGATAGACTTCCAGGACCCTTTCGCAAATCGGTAGACAGGCCAACCTTCTCTTCAAGGCAGTCGATGTTCTGGGTATAGTCCCGAACCAGCTTTCCAGCATCACGCAAACTAAGGATGAAGCGGTGTGTTCTTGTTGGACTGGCGCGCTTAACGTCATGGCGCATCTTGGTGATACCACTGTAGAAGACAGGTGTAACGAATCTCAAGCCCCAACTTCTGAAAGGGATTCCTGAAGGTATGACTTGTCAATGGGGTGAGGTTCGGTGAAGCCAAAGGGTTCACGACAAGTGCACAAGCAATTGTCTCAACAGTCGCTGGGCTAACTGCTTGTATTGCTTACTGAAAAAGCTACTGCAGTGCCTGTAGGCGCAGATCGTGAACTATACACAGCTTCCTCCCCCAGATACCTGTGTACCTGGAACATTTGGAACGTTCTCGTTCCCTTCATTCCCTTTCTGATTGGTTAACTAAGCGATTGGTCTCCGACCTGTCCTGCATGCTGGCTGCAGCCCTCTGGGCCGCTAAGGGTTTATTTTATGACATGATGCAGGACTGCGCCAGTTTAGGTCGGTTCCCCCGCTCATCGCCAGCATGCGATGTGGACCGGCAATCTGCCTTCGGATGTTGTCGGCGCCGTAAGAGATTGGCAACCCTGAGAGCAGCCTGTGTACTGATTGCCAGGTCTGCTCCTGGCTCGGGCGGCTCTGTTGTAGTGTCGAGGCTTTCCCACGAAGAGCACCGTGTCGGCTGAGTCAGGCTGTGTGAGCCACGGTCGCGTCCAGTTCGACGCTGGCCAGCTCGGTCAGGTTGACGAGCCCCGGGGCCGGTACTCGCAGCGCGAGCACGCTAGGTCGCTGAGATCACGTCGCTACGTTCTTGCTCCTTATGCACTAGCCCCACTGTTGGTATACCTCGGAAAGGCTCCTCCTGGGCTGATGAGACTGGCAGGTCGCCCGCGGTGCAGCTGTCGCTTCGACACACACCATGAACACGAACGCGGCTATTAACCAAGACGTGTTGATGGGGATCACAAATGCGTTTGGTTGGCTAAGATCGAGACCTTGGCGTTGACCGTTGTCTTGGGATCCAGGCACCTTGCCCTAGACGTGAGACGCGAAGTTTATAGTAGCATGGAAAGGCGATGAGGTGAAGCTAATATAATGATAGACAATAAGTTGCAAGGTCCTTCATGGTCAATCTATCAGCTCCGCTCCTGCTCAAGAGTACAATTCGGCCCAACCTCATGTGTGAACGTTATGTGAAGCGCGCATGAATATCTGCTCTATTTCATCCACCGACGACCATAAGGCTCCCCGCGTAGAGTTCGGTTCAGAATTACAAGAAAGGAGCCATGGACAATCCCACCCTCCGGTGAAATTCCTTTAGTACCTCAGGACAAGGTGAGGGTGGCAATCCTTGCTCAAGCAGCAGGTACTAGACCATGTAGCCCAACCCTTTCAGTGACACCTGCTCCCCCCTAGGAACTGCCTGAACCCCTTGTTTCCCCTGATGTGCGGTATAGAGAATATGACCGGCCTAACCACCAGAACAGTCAATTGTGTGATCTTTACCACCATGAACTCAACCAGGGCCTTCCACCAAAGATCGAGGACAGGGGTGTCAGCATCAGTAATTGTGCCAGAGTAAACTTCTTCATCTAGGAAAGTTGGTTCTTAGTATTGTTATATTGTAAGTAAAGCCTGATATATATTGTTGGCCTGTTCTAAGGAACTATGTTTTGCTGCCTCGCAAGTCCAGAACCACTCTGCCCGCCGTTAACGATCCCAAAACCCTTTGCCACCATACATATTTCCAATCTGGATTCCAGACTCACCCGTCGCCACCACCGTCTCTACCGAATTGATCGTCTGATCTCTGATGAGGATCTCACGATGTACAACTGC